TCAGACATAGAGACAGATGTAGAAGATTGAGAAAAAGCAGCAGAGAAAGAAACAAAGAGAGCAGAAAGAGATGTAGAAGACTCAGTTATACATGATATAAACAATTTCTTTATTATCACATTCTTCAAGTTCTTGATCAATAATTCAATATTGAGTTCACTATTATTAACAGATACAGATCTGTCAATATATGAAGATTTTATATGAATAAAAACAAATATATCAGCATCTATGTTTATATAAAATCATGTCAGAAAACATGATCAGAAACCTGCTGAGAAGAAAAACAGTCAAGAGTGTATAAGAAGATAAAGAAGATGTGCTATTCATAATAATATATTATGACAATTGTTAAAAGATAAATAAGTTCTGATCATATTTCATAACATATTACACTTACTGTTAATGAACTGCTCAGTATAAGCACTATGATAATACTTGTTATGAGAACAGAGAGTTATTGCCAGAAATGTATACAATGTAATAGATGAACAGATAGAAAGAGTTGAATAGAAGAAGAGATAGAAATGAAATAATAATAGCATTCAATAATGATGATGATAAAGAAGATAATTGAAGAATGAGAAAAGTTAGTGAATGAGAAGTGTAATATAGTGAAAGTTTCTTTGTAAGAATGTATGTAAGATGCTAGCTGAATCAAAGATAGAGTACACAATTGTGAAACACTAGTAGCAAGTTAATCTGCATGAAGCTAGAATGTATAACATAGTCATGTGAGCATGACTGAATCTGGTGAGAGAGGATGTGATTCAGAAGAATGTATAACTGTTGAATAATAACACAGCTGCTTCTGAACTTGCTTACAAGTGTAAAGAGGCCATAGCAGCCACTAATTAATTTAGCGTATGATATATAAGAAGCCGGCGTACGCCTGTAATCGTACGCTGATTCAAGCAACCTTTGAATCACAAAATATTCTGTGGTTCTGCGGATCATCAAGGCGCATGAGCACTGTCACAGATTGAAGAGAGAGAAGAAGAAGATATTTAAGTAAGAAGAGACAGATTGTAAGACATGTTATAATACCTTGAAGAGACTCTGTAAGAAAGCAGAATAATAATGATTTTAAATAACACTTCTGATAGATTTAGACTGAACTAAGTATAGAAATAATACAGATAACATCATCTGTGAGAGATTGAAAAAGAAGATAGTGAAGAGTCTTATACAGCAGCAGTAAGACTAGAAGAAGTTCTGAGAATGATTTAAGTTCAAGATAAAGAGAGAGAGAGAGAAGAAGAGTATTACTATAAATAAGTAATAATAGAAGAAGATTGAGAAGATGTTAAAGTAGAAGATAAAGAAGTTAAAACTGATAAGTTTTTTATTTATTAAGAGATAATAATTTTTAATAACACTTCTATTCTCTAATTGATTAGCAGGAGCTGGCAGAGAAGAAGAGAATTAAGATCTTATTCAGGTCTCAAATGTGCTTCATAATTCAGAATATTGAGAAGACAGCTCTACTCTCTAAGCATATTAATCTGCTTACTACTGAGATAAAACCTGAGACAGCAGATCAAAAAATGCAGGATTTTGAGACACAGATTAATCTGACTAAGAGAGAGCAGCAGAAACTCTTCTCTGAGAAGATAGTGAAGAGAGATTTTAAGATAATTATCATCTCAGATAGAAAAGAGAAGAAGAAGAAGAAGAATAAGAAGTGAATTATAAAGAATAATAAGAAGAATGAGAAAAAGAAGAAGTAGAAAAAGTTTTTTTTTTTTATATTAATTAGTTATAAGTTTATAATTATTAATAATTAAAATTGATTTTGAGTTTTCAAAAATTATTATACAAGTTGTAATCAAGTCAGGAATAATATATATATATATATATATTTAACTATCATGATTCATAAATCACTATAATGTATAAGTATCAACATTTTTTCAATATTAATATTCATAATATTAATATATTTTTAATGATATTATCTGATAATGTAATTTGATAACACTCTCTTTCACTATATTAATATATTTCAAGAAATATAACAGAGATTAATCAAGATTGTTTGTTTACTTTTATATATTAATAATATTTAATCTGAGTTAGTACTAAAATTATAACTAAGCTAAGAAACAAGATTATTTTCTCTTATATTAATTCTTCTTACACACATCAGTGATCAGTTATTGAAAATAAATTATTATCTTTCTTAAATTATTATCATATCTTCTGAATTCACTTCTTTTATTTCTTTTACTTCTATTGAAGATTCATAAACTCTTCAAGAAATCACTGTGAATTATAAAGTCTATGTTATTTACAATTCAACACAGAATACTCTCTTTCAATTATAATGAATAATCACTTCATTCTTCATATCTGATTTCAGATCACAAAATTTATGAAAAACTTAACATAAATATCAAGATAAACTATGAAATAATTTATCAACAGATTGTATTATAGATTACTGAAGAGTTATCTCTCTGTTATAATTACTATAACTTCATTCAGAAACATTCATTTTAAACTAATCATAACTCTGAAGAAATTTCTCAATATCTGAAGTCATCAGAATGCAGATAATAAAAGAAAAATAATCAGAAAATTACTACTGAGCTGATAAGTTACTCTATCAGATAATAATTTTTAATAATACTAACTTTCTAATTTGAAGAAAATCATGTAAAAATAATTATATATCAGTACTCTGATTTCATAACTCTCATCTGATAACTTTTATAAACAATTACTTTATATATATATATCTCTGAATCTTTCTTTTTAATCAATTGAAAACTCTGAATTCTGAACACTTCTTTAAATGCTTAATTCAAATCTTTATATTTTATATCAATTCTGTCTTCAGTTCAATCTTAAGACACACTACAAAGCTAATATATAATATCTAGAATCAGAGTTGAAGAATCATTGAAAAGTGTCTCTCACAGTGAATGCATGAACTAGTACAAACAATCTTGCATTTATAAAAGTTATATATTATTACATTAATGAGAACTGAACTTATTAAGAGATATTAATTGAATTTAAATCATTGATCAGTAGTCATACTGAGAATTATATAATAGAGATATTAATAACTGTGATTAAAAATAACTACTGAGATATTAGTCTCAGTCTTCTTACAATTATAACTAATAATACTGTGAATAACTACACTATGATGAAGAGTTTGAAGTAAAAATTGACTTTGCATTTCTGAAATGATAAATAAGGTCATATTCTCTGCATTATTTATGTGATTCAACTTATGATATAAACACTGATAAAGAATCTTAATATTGAGACAAAGAATAATGAGATGACTGATTCTTGAGATAAGAATGAGATGAAAGTGATTACTCAAGTAACTTTTATATTCACTTTATAAAAGATAATATTTTTTAATAACACTTTTTAATATTGCTTTTTGATAATGCTTTTTGATAATACTACTGTTAATTTTGAATAGATTAATTAATAATTTAAATATCATAGATTTGAAACATTGTTAATATGATTTGTATCTTCTCTAAATAATAATAATGATTTCATAATATTTGTGGCAGGCTGCGTCTGATCAATTATATAGACTATTCTGTTACACTTCATAGATTCTTTCATTTCACTCTCAAACACATACACTCTGATTCTCAGCCATTCTCAATTGCTGATCCTCAGCCGCTATGAACATGTATAGATTCTTCCGCTCTGAAGCTCCACTGTGTACATTATCACATACATGTATAAATATTCACTCTGATCACTGATTTCTACACTTTCTCTTTCTTTTCTTCTCTAACATTTTTCTCCTTTGTTATATAAGACCTATCAATATTATACCGATCTATTCGGCGTAGGCCTCTTACACTATAAAAACATTCATTGTCTCTGTATTAGAAAACAATTATTCACGCATTGTCTCCTCATCAGGAATGATTATTCATTGAGAGATACTCGAACATGTAACAATGCATAAGAAAGAGAAAACACAGATAAGCAGATACTGAGTTCTCAGATAGTTTACAGATAAAAGCTTGCTCATCAGTCACTCTGACTCTGTAACAAGATCTTACAAAGAGAGTAAGATCTTATAAGAGAATATCAGTGAAAGACTCAAGAGTTCTGACACTCAGATATATGAGAATACAATTACACTTTCACAGATATTATACATCTGATAATTGATATAATCATGTCTAATGATAATATGAGAGAACTTCTGAACATGAGCATAGATACAGTGTCACAGTGACTTTAAGCAATGTTAGAACTATAACAGTAACAGATAGCTGATATGCATGCAACTCAACAACTTCAATATGAAGAGATTTAACAATTAACTCACATGATTTTAACATCTACAGAATCAAATACAAAAGTACTGAAAGAACACTTAGATACTTCTATATATTTCAATACTTCTGATCTCACTCTCTACTCATCATAGAGAATGAAAATACTTGTGAAACTGAGTGTAGATGAAGATTTCATCAGTTTATTAATCAATTAAGATTAGTATATCAATGAAAGATTGAAGAATTATATAAAATAGAAGTTTTATTTATGAATGAAAGCATGTGAACTAGTGTTATGAATATCTGATAATATCATGAGATATCTTGATATTCTGTTTCAAGACACTGTCATACAATAGAAAGTATTAGATTAATTACAGAGTGTTTGACAGAGAAACATTTCTCTTATAACATTTATCTCTGACTTCAATATCAAGATTCTAGAAGCAGGTAATTAATCTTGAGAGAATTAAATGAAGATTAGTATACTCAAGAAGATATTAACTTTTGAACTCTTACAGGCTCTTATAAGTGCAGATAAAGACCAGACTTATAAAGGCTTCTACACACAGCTTCAAACAATGAATGACTATCTTATCAAGCTCAAGAGTATACAGAACAGTGATAGAAGACATTACATTCATACACCTGCACTGACAGATAACTCAGTCACTTATACACTCACACTGAAGAACAATGATGCAGATGCCATGAACTGAATAGATTCAAATGTCTATGCATAAGCAAGAGTTTCCACTGTTTGAACAGGCTTCTGAGTCTCTGAGATCACTTCTGAAGAAGTTGCTGATCAATGTCAACATGGAGTATGCATCAATTGTAACTGATTGAGACACATCACTTTCAACTGCTGATTGACCTATGTGTCTTCATACTTGAGAGAAAGATCAGTGCCTTCTCATTTGAAGAATGGATCAGTGCCTGTCCGCGCCAACCACATTACATTAGAGGAAGATTCAGAAGATAACTATGAGAATGCCCCAGTGAAACAGGGAAAAGATTAGCTCCTGTCCAAATTCACAAACAGGAGCTTGAAGAGGTCGCTATCAATGGACAAGATGCCGTTTCAACAGGTGTAAGCCCGTTCTTCCTTACACACAGTTATCACATGGAAGTGTTGAATCTCCTAGAGACCACACAGTTCACACCAGACCCCCGCAGTCCGATCCAGATCGCCGACAATATAGTAATGAAGCTCCGAGATGCCCGTGATTGGGCAGAGGCCTCCATGGCAACTGCGAAACAAGATCAAGAGGATCAAACCAATGTCCACCGAGACCCCGCTGAACACTATAAGATAGGAGATCTGGTATGGTTGAATCTTAAGAACATACAAACCACACATCCATCTCGTACACTAGATTACCGCCACGCCAGGTATAAAGTGATAGAAGTCCTAGGTAGCCACAACTACCGCCTTGACACATCACCAGGGATTCATGATGTATTCCACACAAGCTTGCTCCGCCGCGCCGCCACCGATCCGTTCCCTTCTCAGCTGACTTCTGACTGGCAGCCACCAGGCATCATAGGAGAAGATAATGAGCTTGAGTGGGAGATTGAGGATATCCTCGATGAGAGACCCCGCGGCCGCGGCCGGCAATATCTTGTGAAATGGGGATCAACCGACCTGGACTCCGAGTTCCGCATTATCTGAAACAGCGGCCCTTGACCGATGAGAACTGCTTCTAGAAGGAGGGGGCTAATGTGGCAGGCTGCGCCCGATCAATCATATAGACTATTCCATTACTCTCCATAGATTCTTCCGTTCCACTCTCAAACACATACACTCTGATTCTCAGCCATTCTCAATCACCGATCCTCGGCCGCCATGAACGCGTATAGATTCTTCCACCCTGAAGCTCCACTGCGTACACCACCACATACATGTATAAATATCCACCCCAATCGCTGATTTCTACACTTTCTCTTTCTTTCCTTCTCTAATGTTTTTCTCCTTTGTTATATAAGACCTATCAATATTATACCGATCTATTCGGCGTAGGCCTCTTACAATATTCAATAAATAAACAAATCAGTCACATTACTCAATATGATACAGAATGTTAGAATATAGTGAAGTTCAATATATAAGATAACTATTCAGACTCTTCAATTATATCAGATGATTGATCATTGAGTGTAATACTCTGATTGAAAAAAATTCAGATATTAAAACTTTCTGATATAGAGTGAACTCAGTTGAAATATGTAATTGATTTACTGTTTCAGTTTTATAAGATAATAAAGACAGTCTCAATCACTTATATATTAATACTGCAGTCAGTCTGATGAGTGTATAACAGTTTATTTACTTATCTTGAGAAGCAGTTGAATTACTTAAAAAGAAATTCAGTCTGAGATAATACTATAGTGCAGGCTATTATTACTGTAAGAAATAAACTGACATATTACTACAGTAAAACTGAACAATCTTTTACAGAGTACTATGCTGTAGTAGCTCTACTAGATCTCTCTCATTGAGTTAATATCTACACTTCTCAAGATTGAACAGAGAAGAAATGAGACTCATATATTAAATTAGTCTGAGACTACTATAATGTTAACTATCAGAGATTTGAACAAGCAGATATTTAAGATGTGAAGACAGTGAAATACAATTCTCTAATAAATAACAATCTTTGATAATACTTCATATTAAAGAACTATAATACTAACTTTGAAACAGAACTTATATACATTGATTATAACTGAAAATCAGGTAAAACTACATGCTTATAAAACTGAATTTGACTGCTATCTTCAAGATAATTCAATAAATTTACACACTAAATCAATTCTAGAGTTATGAAAAATTGTTGAGAGTATATATTCAACTGTTGTACTGATGATATGTGATATTCTGATAATTTCATTGACAGAGATGAGAATGAAGTGAAAGTTCAACTTAAATCAAGATATTTATCACTATCATCAGAGATAATTACAAGAAGAAATAATTAAGAAACTTATAATTATAAAACATGAAATTATCAGACAGTTTAATATCTCTGATCACAGTATATCAGAGAAGTGTAGTTTTTATAAGAAAGTGAAGAATAAACTTGTATAAGAATGTATTTAGTTGTTTTATAAGCATTATTAATAATTATTATCAAATTCTGATTATATAAGTAATCTCTGAATGAATTGAATGAGACTGATTTTAATCTTCAGTCTCAGTCTCATTCTGATTTTGAAAGAATGATTATCTTTCACATTTTATTCTGAGAAATTACTCTTATTTCACTGTTCTTGAATTAAATCTGATCATTTTTCACATCATTTCTCTCAGAAATGATTCATTTTCAGATTTTTTTAAGGCTTGGTTCTGATGAGACTCACACTAAGAAATGTATGAGATCAGATTAAATGAGACTAAATGTGAAATTCATGATTCCGCCAGTCAGTCTAGTAGAAACTCATCATCTTATAGACTAGAATTTATCAATAACAGTATTAATATTTTTATTATAATTAGATTCTTAGTGAAGACTGTATCATTCTGACTTGTCAGAATTTATAATATAAAAGTTATGTCTCAGCTTCTATAGATGTCTTATCTGCTCAGATAATTCTTAAGTGAACTTATTCATCTTATCAGAATATTCTTATCACTGAATCTTGAATCAGAGCTCACAATCTTGCTTTTCTGAGTCAATAATCTCTTTGATCTGATATTCTCTTTCACTCTCTAGTACTTTATAAATAGAATGATGAGTCACAGAATTCTCTTCTGAGAATTTCTTATATTTATAAAATAAAGAGATATGAAAAACATTGTATATCTGTAACTCAGATAATAGTTTTAATCTAGTGAACTGTAAGCTAACTTTCTTTATAATCTTATAAGACTCTGTCTGTAAGAGATTCAGCTTCTTACTAGATCTCTATATAATAATATTTTCTAAACTCAGTCAGACTCTATTATCTTTCTTGAAACTCTTTACAATGTGCTTGAAGTCATAGTATCTTTTCTAATACTCTTGAGTCTTTCTCAAGAATTCACAGACTTTCTTCTGAATCTTCTGAATTCTCTCAGTCTGTTCATAGATATTATCACACTCTATAGTATACTCTCATAGATTTATCAAGATCATCTGTGAATGAGTCTCAGTGAGTATCTCAAAGAGAATTATATCTATACTAACATGCTTTGAGTTGTTGTATATAAACTCTGTAAGTGATAATTAATACATTCAGTTATTCTGATTATAATTAATAAAGCACTGCAGATACTGTTTTAATATACTTATCAGATATTCTATCTAATCATCTATCTCTTGATGAAAAGCTGTGCTTAGATCTTACAAGATCTTCAGTATAGTTATCAGATCAGATCAGAACTTCTCTGTGAAGATTAATTCTCTATCTGAGATAATATTTACAGATAACTTATGCAACTGAATCACATCACAGATAAAGATATAAGCTAAATTCTTTGACTTCAAGTTCTTGTAAGTGAGTATAAAGTGTGTTATCTTGATAAAGTGATTCACTATCATCAGTACACTGTCAAAGCAGACATTATATATATTCTTACTTTTAGAGAGACTTATAAGAGTATTTATTTCTAGCTATTCTCAAGATTTCTGTAAGATGAGTAGAGAAGTAAGTTCTTTATATAATCTGAATTATACTACTCACAAACTCTGATAAATAGTACAAGAATTCACTATCTTCTTCACAAGTTCTTATATCTTCAGTTAGAAGTATTTTCTTATAAGTAACTTATAAGTTCTAGTATCTGTAAAATGACCTGTTAGAGAAGAGTCATGATATCTTTTAATAAGTTCTATATATAGAAACTCATTTACAGGTATATAAATTCAGCTCTCTCTTTGTAAGAGACTATTTAAGTCTTTTTAATTCTTTATTTCTGCAGAATTGATCTCTGCTATAAGCAGTTTCTAAATATACTGAGTATATTCATTCTTCAGTTGCAGTTCAGACAATCTGAATAGAAGATCTTATAAAGACTTATACTCTGTTTTCTCTTGTATCAGATCTTTTACAGTGCTTCTCAAAGTCTGTAAATTCTTCAGATTATAGATATTCTCTTCAGGAATTTTTATAAAGATTCTCAGAGTGTTAACTCTCAGTGTTATAGAGAGTAGTTATACAGACTTCTTCTCTTTCTTTTCTTTCTTCTCTTACAGAGAATTGAGAGACTCTTCAGTTAATCTCTTTACAATACTTAGTTTAAGTATTCTGTGAAGCTTTTCTGTCTTCTCTAGTCTTTCTGTATCTGTCACTCTGATCTTCTTAACATAGTCTGATCTATAAGAGAGTCTGTCTGCTGAGTTCTTAGTTTTCTTAATATATTCTATCTTGAATCAGAACTTACTCAGTCTCTGAGCTCAGTGAATCTGCTACTATGAGAGTTTCTTAATTGAAGTAAACTATTATAAGCTGTTATAATCAGTTCTAACAGTAATCACTGTTATAAGACTCTCAAAGTAGTAATATCAGTAATAAAAGAATTTCACTATTATAAGAAACTTCTGATTAGACTGACCGTGTGACCGTGTCTGAGACCAGGACCAGAATTTTTGATAGTCTCATTGCCAATTCGACAGATCTCATTACACGGTTCTAACATTAGATAGTAGTCTCATACTGTCCCAGTGAGACTTACTGTCTACTCTTGTCACATTTTTCAAATGAGACCATGATTTTCACTTCTCAATTTAAATTATTTTTATTGCTTTAAATGACTTTAAATCTCATTTGAGTGTTACCAAAAAGTGTTACTTTTTAAAAAATTAAAAATAGTCTAAAAAAAACCTTAAAATGTCTAAAAATAGTAACTTTATGTCAAGAATGGGACTAAATGAGACCAAATGGGATCACTTTCTCATTTTTTTCAAGTCATGATTCCATTTTGAGATCTGATATATAGTCACTTTATATGTTTATTTAATGATTAGTCCCAGCGGGATTCACGCCAAGAAATGTATAAGACCAGATCAAATGAGATCAAATGTGAAATTCATGATCTCAGCGGCCAGTCTACTTCTGATTATAAATATCATAGTTAATCTCTATGAGTTACATCTTTCATAAGAAAAAGATCACTGAAACTCAGTTCTTATTTAACTGTAGTTATAAGACTATTTCTGAAATTATAAAGAAAAAGACATCTATCTCTAATCTGATTAAGAGTAAGAGATTAAAGTGAAATAGTATCACTGCATTTATAAATATTTATTTCAATCTTATAAAGACTCTGTGAGCTTCTAAGATAAGAAAGTTCTTACAGCTCTTTCTTCTTAATAATCTTTTTATTCTCTATTTATAAAATGACTTTTTCTTATTTTCACTCTTTAGCATGTCTGTAAGAGTTAAGAAGATTCTTATAAATATAAAGATAAACTATCTATAGAAATTCATAAAGCTCATGTGATTCGGAAGAACGTACAACCGTCGGATAATAACGCGGCCGCTTCCGAACTACTAGCGTACGAATGTAAAGAGGGCCATAGCGGCTGCTAATTAATTTAGCATATAATATTACAATATATAAAAAGCTGATGTACATCTGTAATCATACACTGACTTAAGCAACCTTTGAATTACATCTGATAGCATATCTAAAAACTGGTGAGAAGCACAGACTTCTTCAGAATGTGATAATTTCATCTATGAAGTGATTCATAGTTATCATGTCAGTGTGATTCTAGAATATCTCAAA